ATGAGTAAAGAAAGAATGAGGTCTGAATTTTGCTACAAGTACAGTCACAGTCTTTGAGAGAAACAAAGGAATGAGTTGCTAAAGATGAGTTTTCCAGGATCTTTCAGGATACATTTCCTGCCTTCTCATGTCTGTGGGCACGTTATCAAACAAGATGTGATGGTAGAAACAAGTGACAAGATGGCAGAGAAGAGACCCATTCTCTAGTCTGCTTCCATGCACATGTGACATGTGGACAACACAGTGGGCACCAACCAAGTTCTTCCATTAGACAAAGCAAGAAGAGCAGACCGAGTCTCATCTACTTTCTCATTAATTCTATTTATTGAGAGGCTGGCAACTCACTTGAGAAGTGGGGCCCCATAGGCCTTCTCAGTGTATGGCCGCCCGTGAAGCTTCTGCAGGCAGTTGGTGCACAGCTCGTGTTCTTTGGGCTTCTACACTTTTGCAGACTTAAACCCTCTCTATATAAGGACTCATAGGGATTTCATCCTGGTATGACTGCCTGTTTTTCCAGCTCGTTTGAGTTCAAATTCCTTAAGCCATCCATGAGTTTGTGGCAAAGCATTTGGTCTCCATTTTATACACCTGTTTTGTTTTCCAAGGGCAATGGAAGGTTCATTATAGAGTAACACACAATAAATAACCCACTGTTAGCTCAGAGGAAGGGACAGGGAAGGTGCCCACTGCAGAGCAATACAGAGGAACCAGGGAAGCACGGGGTGAAGTATGGGTGGAAACAATACGTACAACTCCACTGAACGGATTTCCTGTTTTGTTTTTCTTTCACATAATTAACACTAACAAATTCTTCCAGTGTTTATTTTTTCCTTTAAAAAATATGTTTTCTTTTTGTGTCTCTCACGAAGTAGGCGAAATGCAGACTAAAGCCTTCTGTGGTTTTTTGTCGCTGTAATCTCAGGTGCCAGTTTTAACAAACAGAACACAAGCTTGCAAAATGTTCGAACTAGTACCGCTTTTTCTCCATTTTTTTCCTTTAAACACTGATGAATCAAAACTCCCTCATGTCATAGACATCATCATCGTCGCTGTCGTTGTCATGCGTTATTGTCACCGTGATTTTCGTGTTGTGGCTTTTCTGAGGACCTTAGCTGCATTTGCAAGACTTGACGATCATGTTGGAAAGTTGTTCGACCTTGGGTGTGTTACCAATGTAGTAGAGGATGGTCAGTGGCTCCAAATCTTGGGACACACAGCAAGGGGAAGCAGAGGCTTCAGGATTTATGGTATTGTACAAACTGAGTACCTGAGTGACACAACACAGGGACACACACACAAGCAAGTGATTAGTTTCATTTGTGTTTAAATTTTGTACTTATGTGCATGTGTGTGCACCTACAAGCAGGGGCCAGAGGTTGATGGTGGGTGTCTTCCTCAGTCTCTCTCCATTTCATTATCTATCTATCTATCTATCTATCTATCTATCTATCTATCTATCTATCTATCTATCTATCATCTATCTACCATCTACTCATCAATCATCAATCTATCATCTATCTATGTATCTATCTATCATCTATCTGTCAATCTATCTACCATCTACCTATCAATCATATATCTATGTATCTATCATCTGTCTATCTATCTATCTATATATTTATGTATCTATCTATGTATCTGTCTATCTATCTATCTATCTATCTATCTATCTATCTATCTATCTATCTATCTATCTATCTTAGGCTGGGTCTCTTGCTGAATCTGGAGCTTGTTGATTTGGCTTAGGTTGGCTTGGTCAGCGAGCTCCAGAGATGCTCCTGTCTCTGTCCCTCACAGTCTGAGGTTATAAGAGTATATCACCACATCTGGCTTCTATGTGATTGATGGGGATATGAACTCGGGTCCTCATGCTTAGTGCATTTTACACACTGAGTCACTTCCCCAGCTCAGGGCCACTGAGTAGGCAATCTCAATTATTTGTTTTCTTACCTCTAAGTTATGGTCAGACTGGCTTGTGTCCTTAACAATGACAAATTTAGACTTTTTCCACAGGCTGCCTTTTGTTCTTTTTGTACATATTAAACAAATTATTCCATAAAAGTCAGATTACACCAAAAAAAGATGGAAAAATGATCTTTATTACTGATTAATAATGCTATGTTGGCTTTTCAGAGTTCCTGTGGGGGGACAGTGGGAACTTTACAGCAAACTGTGTTTGAGACCTTTCACACAACACACAAGTCCCATAGTCAATCACGTTCTGGGATGAGCAAGGACACTGCTTGTCACAAATCCAGTCTGACAGCAGGGCCCATGTTTCCAAGGGCAGTGCTGAATTTTCATCCAAAGTGTCAGAATGGCTTGTCGGACTTGCTGGCCTTGGTGTCACAGGCGGTCATAGCCATGTTGGGCCAACTTGACACAGCCTGTGGCTGGCAGGTAGCACAGCAAACAGGGTAGCACCAGAGAGAGGGCACCCATGGAGGACCAGCAGGTACAGCAGTTGGAGCAGGAGTAGGAGCAGGGATGGTCAGCGCAGGAGCCCTCATCATCCTCATTGGTGCAATGAAGATGCCTTGTACTAGGCACATGCATGTGCCATAGACCCAAATCTTCCTTGCTCAGTTGATTCTAACCGTCTGCTTATAATGATACTCTTTTTAAAAATCCTATAACACTGATGGCAGAGAAAGCCCACTGATCCCATCATATGTAGTGCACCTGCAGATCACTGGGTCAGGTCTCTGTGTTGCCACTCAGGGCACTCAGGTCCCTTCCACCTAAACTAACCTATTATTCCTCAGATCAATTCCTAGATCTCTAGGAAGAGAAGCCGTGCTGAGATGACTGCCTTGATGGGAGCCTGTTACTGCCATCACCTTAGCAGTCCTTTTGGGGGTTGGAGCAGTGGGAGCAGGCAGAGGAATTGCCTCTCTGGTCCTGTCCAACTAACATTACTCTGAACTTCGACTGTCCATAGACGAGGATATTACCCAATTTGAACAGAAAATTTCTGCCCTTGAGTCATCCCTTTCCTCCCTATCTGAGATAGTTTTACAGAACAGGAGAGGCCTGGATCTCCTCTTTCTACAACAAGGTGGCCTTTGTACTGTGCTCCAAGAGGAATGTTGCTTCTTTACAGACCACACCGGGGTAGTCAGGGACAGTATGGTAAAGGTTAGAAAAGGACTAGAAAAGGAGAAAAAGAAAAGGAGAACAAGAGATTGGGTGGTTCTAGAATTGGTTTTCCAACTCCCCTTGGCTAATGATCCTTCTTTCCTCCCTGCTAGAACCTGTTGTAGGCCTGCTCCTGGTCCTTGCCTTTGGGCCATGGGCACTTTCCTGGCTCACTCGGTTCATCTAAAGCCAAATAACAGACCTGCGGGCCAGGCAGATCCAGGTTCATTACCACTGCTTTGATATGCAGGACTCCTGGGTTGAAATTTCCCCTGACATTGCCTCACACAGACCCCTTCACTCGGGGGAGGCTGTACCTGTGTGTGGGGAAAAGGCTCACTCAAGGCATGATTGGAGTGCAGCTGGGACTGCACAGGTTGGAGACCATGGTACCCCAAAATCCCGAGAGCCTGGATTATATGCCCTGTTGCATAGCAGTTGTGCAGTAACAGCCTTGCACTTACCCATTTCTGCTCCCTCAAAAAACTGCAGGGTCCATTGATTCCCACACTATGGGGATGCCTGTTGTGCTTGAGTCTGGAGAGACATTCCCTCTCATACCTTTTTTCACAACCTTTAGAGGATAGGGCCTCTGTAATCCTCCATGCAAAGCCTCTTTCAGAGCCCTCCTTTTAGACCATTCACACCTGGTTTATGTTGGCCCTTAGATACATTACTAAGAAGGGGGAGATGTCAGGGACAAGGACAGAATCTCTACTTAGTGGAAAAATACAG